GGTGTATTAGTTTTTTATAAAACAGTGCTTTCTTTTTATTTCTACTATATAATGAATCAATAATTAATCTGTATTGAGTCTCCAGGCTATAGAGGACCCTCAATACTCAGTGATAGCAAAAGTTGAACTAAGAAAGGTGTTCGGAAAGAGAACTGTAAGTAAAATTATCGTTACAATTCATTCTTTTGGATGCATATTTCTTCTGCAAAATAATTATTTAGTAGTACTATATGCTGTTCCAATATGCAGATCAAGGAATTAGCTGAGACTAACCTTTCTGCCAATCAAAAGAAGTCAGAAAAGAAAAAACTCAACTGGAGGGTAATCGAGAACAGTAAAAGTGATCCCATCCCATTGAAAGGTGGTCCAGTTGACAGTCAAGCTCTTGCCGTAGAACTTGGACCCATGGAGATACGCACCTTCTTGCTAAAATTCTAGATTGCATATACATAAAGTAATTGCCTAGTTTATAAAGGGGAAAACAAAACATCATTGTACAAAAGGATGAATATGTATCCTTTCAGGCCTTGTTCAGGGTTTGATGTGGATTGTGATGGATTGACTGGGATTGAACAAAATTGTTAGTTTTCTTTATCTGATACATGTATCTTCTCCATGCCAAAAGCTAAAAGAATCGAATGTGACATGCTTCCAACAAGTTATATAAAAGAAAGAGAAGAGGTATATGTATAATAAGTTTCATGGGGGAACCACCCTAGAAATCATAAGCTAGGAGCCATTTGGCTCTCGTTGGTCTTCAATTGCCTAGGTAAACATGGGTACCAGTTGTACATTCTATTCTCGCCACTTCCATGCATGTATTTCTGAATTCACCCTCTTGTTAGCTAGGCTCTCATAAATCTTGATGTTGTGGGGTGTATGTTAGAACCTGATACCCCTACTTATGTGCAGTAGCTTGATATTTGAAAAGATATTGCGAGTATGACGCAATCTTGAACCATATCAAGAACGACATAGACGACTCACATAGAACATCATAGATGACGATGTTCAAGCAACCATGACAAGAGATTAGGATTTGATGAAATTGAACATCAATTTTATATATATAAGCACAACTCTAGAAGAGTATAAGTGATCTATTAATTCTTGCCTAATGCAATAATCTAGTGCAATAGAACTTTCTAGCCTATTTCTTCTTATAAACATTGGGTAAGACCCATATGTTGACTTGTTTGAAGCCTATGGCTTCTACCCATTGTTTATATAGTCCTCTCCAAGGCCCTCATACATTCAAGTAGGAGTCCTACTCCTAGTAGGATTCTACACTCAAGTTCTAATGGAAATAGAAGTCCTAATAGCACACCACTCTTGAATCCTAGTCCAATTAGGATTTGAGTCACCGTACCACAATATTCACCTTGAAATTAATCCTTTGAAGTCACCTTTCTCCTCCAAGAATTCGCTCCAAGTTAGCTACCTTTTTATTTATACTCCCACCTTGACAGTGCCCCTACCATAGGGGCTCATCCACATCACCATGATGTGAGTGTCAATGAGAGCTCCTTCATTCTATAGATTGGTTAACCACAGCACCTTCTCCTATGGCCCTCCATGCCATAGGTTTGTACCACCTCCGAGCTGCACATGCTCGCTTGTACAACAACGTCGCACTTCTTCCAACAGCTTGTAGCTTCGCCTCTATGACTATTAGCTTTTGGAACCGTCTTTGTAGCCTCATACTTGACCATGATTGAGATTTGAATGCATGGTTTTGTTGAGATGACTCCTCCTCATGTTGCACCACGCTTAAGATTTGTTATCACTCGGTATCCTACATTAATCCAAATATTTTTCATAATTATCTCTCATTTCCATGTAAGTTGCATGACTCCACCTTGAACTGATATGCCACAACCTTGGAGTTCTAGCCACCTCACAGATATTAAATTCTTTTTTAAGCCCAGGATATACCAAACTCCCGTCAGTGTGCAATGTGTTCCATTATGCATCTCCAATGTGACTGTTCCCACCTCAGTGACTGCATACTCCTTGTAATCCGCTAAGTGGATAGTTCCATTTGCCACCAAACATATATGGAAGAAACTCCTTGAATCTAGTATTCACTCATGAGTATTACCTAGTTGACCGACGTTAAGTACATCATTTTCATCCTCACTTGGGCATGCTCCTCTCATAGTCTTCAAACTTGGACAATCTTTATCATGTGACCCTCCTTGTCACATAGGTAGCATGTAAGTTGTCCCTTGCTCTTGCCTTTCTTCTTCCCATGATTATTACTTTTCCCACTCTAGCTGAAATAGTCAAAGCTTGATCACTCAGAAATGAAGATTCTTGTGGCTTGTTTAAGGACTCCACCTCTAATAGGTATGTAACTATTTCATTGAAGTTGAGAGTAGTTTTTCCGACGAGAATATTCATCACTTACTACTCTCATGATGGTGGTAAGGATGATGCCAGAATGACAACCTTATCGTTCTCCTCAATTTTCTCATCCACACTAACCAGTTGCATGACAATCTTGTTGAAGACATTTAGATGGACGACGAATCATGTACCTTCCTCCATGCATAACCTGAATAGTTGACACTTTAGTATGCAATGATTTGTCAATGCCTTTGCCATATACAACTCCTTTAAGGTCTTTCATAATTTCGTCGGTTAATTCTACTAGATTAGCATGTCTTTTACCTCAATAGAGAGACATAGTCGAACTATACTAATAGCCTTCTGCTCCATCTCCTTTGCCATTAAATTTATCTACTTGATTCCACATCCCTGATCTTGTCTTAATTTTGTGCTTCTTAGCCCTGCTAAACACAAAATCAAATCAATCCGACCTTGGTTTTGGTACCACTTGTAAGAATCTTGTACCCCTACTTATGTGAAGCAGCCCTCAGATCTTTCAAAGGATATTGTGAGTATGCCACAATCTTGCACTGTATCAAGAATGACGTCGACAAATGTAGTAGAAAACCCTAGATGAGGATGTTAAAGCAACCACAGACAAGATATTAGGATTTGGTGAAGCCAACCGCAAGTCCACAATTTCTGTAAGCATAAGTCTAACAAGATGCAAGTGATTATTACTCTCTCACAACCATACTTGACCCTCTAGGACCTACTAAATATACAAGAATCTAGTGTAATAGACCTTTGTAGCCTAATCCTCTCAAGCGCTCCTATTGCTTCTTATAATCCTTGAAAAATGAACATCAACTGAAGGAAACGATAAAATCATTCTCATTTTTCTTGATGTAAACTTGTTTATGATATTATGAGGATATGCTTTGGTTCCATACCAAATTTGTTATTTTCAAAAAAAAGTTGAGTGTTTTTAAATTTCAAAATTTATTAAATGACAAAGAAAACTAGAGTGTACACCATAAGTCCGGAACTTTTCAATCATCTATTGAGGGGTGCCACTTCATTGAAATCGTCGTTTAATTCTTTGAAGGAACCAATAGCTGCATTATAACTCAATAAACACATTAGTCCCTAATTTGGATGTCATTAATTCACCAAAACCCATCGGGGCAAATGCACTTTCAGTACCCTCATCTCCTTTACTTTCCGAGCGTATATCCGATTGAGAATAAACATATATATGCCCTCTATAATCGTGTGAATACAGTTATACAAATGCTAATAAAGGAAAACTCACGAATAAATGCACAACAGAATGCAACATGAAGTATATTTGCAACAACAAAAAAAAAACAAGTGCCGGTTGCTTCGCATCGTTACACAAATGTAAGCCTGTCGATGACATGGATCCTGGTTTTCTGATCGACGTCGCATGCATGCTCCCAACTGCCGCTTAGACTAGTCACTTGGAGATGAGTGAGTGGTGAGACCAGTCCTATATATATGTGTAGTAATAATTAAATAGTGTGCCTGCAGGAATCAGAGTCACTCACCTCTCGCTCATTTTTCAGCAGTTCCCTAGTGTGTCGTCATTCTGTATAACGGCGGCCACCGAAAACCCAACAAACTAAAAGATGGCGTCCGCTGGCTTGCTCATTTTTCTAGTCGGAGCCACCGTCGTAGCAGCTTCACCTCCTACTCTTTCTCCTCCTCCTCCTCCTACTCCTATTCCTCCTCCACGGTTGGGTGCTCCTCTCTCCCATGTCGCCCAAGGTGCCTGCGTTTTTTGCATTCGGTGAGCCCGTGGTGGATACGGGCAACAACAGCTACGATGCTGTTTGGTTGGATGTTTTGTAACGGTATCTAATTACAGCGGCAACTAAAAACATTAGATTCTGTTTGTTTTCTCCCCACTGTAAACAGATGACGCCGTAAAGCGATACGGGCTAATAGAAACTTGATACCGTCGAAACCCGGGGCGTAATCTGTTCGGCTCGTCTGTTCCATTTCCATCTCCCCGCTTGTCTGCTCCGCGTCCCCCCTCGATAATCTTCGTCCAGTTCGTGCTCAGCGCCGGCGCCACCCATCCCCACTGCCTCCTCTGGCCCTAGCGTGACTCCACCGTCCCTTCGTCTCTTTCCCTTCTCCAGTCTCGTCCTGCAGTTGCAACCGGTCGCGGATCGAGCAGTACGAATGCCTCGGGATGCCCAGGCTCTCGCCGGACGGCTGCGGGAGTCCAAGCACGCGGTTCGGGTGATGCCGATGGCGCCGGACGTGGCCGTCTGGGGCGCGCTGCTCTCCGGGCGCCACACCGGCTGCACGACAACGTCGAGTTGGGCGCGCACGACGCATGCGAGGTCGTGCAGTGCGACCCCGTGGGACATCGGCACGGACGTGCTCGTGGTCGTGGCCACCGTGGCATGTGGCGGAGACTTCGGCCGCGGCCGCGCACGGGTCGAGCGTGAGGGGCCGGATGAGGGAGGCCGGCGTCGGCGAGATTTCGGATGCACGAGTTCAGTCTCTGTGGCCGTTTATCTGATTCCTTTAGGAATGGGAACCAAACAAAATCAGTATTCGCTTAATTTGTTTCCATTTGCGGTGTCCTTCATTACTATTTGCGTTTACGTTTACATGATGCAACCAAACAGCACCTACATCCGCACCCTCATCCGGTCAAATTTTTCACAGTACGGCAGGGACTTCCCAGGCCATAAGCCCACCGGCAGGTTCTCGGATGGCAAGATCAACATGGATTTCCTTGTATATAGGAGTATATAATAGACTTCGTAACTTGGATCTGCATGTCTGCATCCAAATCCGGCCAACTACGGTTATCTAGAGTAATTTGAGCGAACATATAAAGATAAATATATGTGCAGCGTCTGCTCTTGGACCGAAGGAGATGCTGCCGCCGTACCTGGACAAGAACCTCACCATGAAGAACCACAACGGGGCAGAATTCACCAAAGGAGGAAACTCCACCGACTCTACCTCAATAGTGAAATTTGCAGGGAGGTTAACCTCAGGATTATTTTCTTTGAAATTTCTCAAATTATCTAATTCATTCTGTTTTAAACCATCAATGGTTTCATTAATACTCTGACTATCAGAACCCAACTCAATACCAACATTAAGAGCTTTATCATTCAAAGAACTATTGCTTTCAAAAGCAAAAGAGGATGAATAATTTTTACCTTTCTCCAGAGTTTTCACTTCTTTCAGCTCTTGGGCCCTTTGCATGATAGTTTTACCATCCTCAGGAACCCTTCTTGGTCTTGGAATTCTCAAGATAGGACCCCAACCAGTCTTCCTCTTTTGAGCTTTCTTTCCTGCCTCATCCTGAATTCCATTGACCTCAGCTTCAATATTAGGTAGGAGCCCAGATTCCTCTAGAGTAATGATATCATCTTCATTGGTCATTTCCTCCTCATCATCCAAAGCCTCTAATTCCATCCTTTTCTGCAGTGTAGAACACTCCTCAGTAGCTGTATCCCTGCTAGCGAACCTTCTAAACTCCTCCCATCTTGAATGCCTAGACTCTTCCTCACAAGCACCATAAAGCTTCTTTCCAACTATCTGGCAATCAGATCCCCGTATCTGAGCACATTCTGGTGTGACCTCCACTGGATATGTGTTCTCCCCAATTGGAAGTTGCTCAGTCATCTCCCCCATACTATGCAAATGATGTGCGCTACTGAAATCCAGACACTGTTCCACACTTTTACCAGTCAGATCCTGCATTGACCAGTCCCTCACCTGCTCTTTCTCAGCAAAAGAATCCCATGATAGCTGATGTTATAATTCTCAGTAAAAGCACCTTTCTGAAAGCCACTCAAGTGACAGGTTGATGAAGACAGATAAATCTTGGCCCCCAGTGAATACACACCATCCATAGAAGAAGCCTCAAGGCTGCTCCCAGCCACCATTGTCTTATCTGCTTCTTCTACCGAGACCCCCACATCAGAAGGCAACTTCCTGTGTGGTGAAACCCCCTTGTTCACTTGACTATTAAGAGCCAATTCAGAAATACATAAATTACTAACTGCCACATCCCCCATTAATTTGTTACTTACTAACTCTGACAGCAGAGGTCTTCCTTCCATACATTCCTTCAGATATCTATCTTGATCAACGAGTTCTATATTCATCTCCTCCATACTAACTGTCTTACACCCCGAGCTGCTATTGGGTTTGCTGACCGGGGTTTTTTGGGTATCTGCAGAAGGACCCTGGGTGTGAGGGGGCTGCTCTTTAGACGGTGGATCATCATCCAGTAAGTCATCTTCCTCCCCATCATCACCTAGATCATCATCACCTCCATCCCCTCCATCGTTTCTCGGATTAGTCTTTGTCTTCTCCTGTTCTGCTTCCACAGTAAAAACAATTACATGGAGTTTCTTGTTCATCTCATATAGCCTTTGATGTGGAATTTTGGAGAAATCCTTGCAAGCCACCTTAACTCTTACTGTTTCATAGAAAGACTTGAAAAGAGCTGACCAATCCACTCAGTCATAAGACCAAATCCAGAGACAATTTGGGCAAAGACCCTCCAATGATCTTGGTGGAATGCCATTGATCTGCACCCAGACCTCTTGTAGTTCACCATAGGGTTTGAGATCACCAAGCCACTCTAGAACCTCCACTTGTACCCCTTCCTTCCTTAAGCTGAATGATGGATAATTCTTGATGTCAGACACTTTCTTGTTGGGTGGGAAACGAACTAAAAAATTGCCAGCCTCCAACTCTCTAATCTGCCATGGCCAGTCCTTAGAGAAAATCTCAAACAACTCACCCTCCAATTCAGCCAAAGTAATAGAACCAGACTTGATTCGGACAACTCCACAATTTGTGAGATTAAGCCACTGAGTTGATTCAATATCCGGTATTTCTAGGTGATAAAAACCTAATCCAAGGCTAGCACTACCCACATATGCAGCAATAGGGTGATCCCTCTTCCAAGCGGGGCAAGCACTCATATGATGACCAGCAATCCCACATATGAAACAGATTTTTGGCTTGGAACAATTAACCACAAAATGCCCCGGCTCCCCGCAATTATAGCATGTCAACTTCCTGTACCGACGATCGATGACAAACGGAGGTGGTTTAGAGGTATTAGTACCTTGGGGTTGCCCTTGCTGACCACCTCTCCTAAGTGGCGGGGGAGGTTGCCTCACCGGCGGTGGCGGCCTAGGTGGCGCCTGTTGCCGCTGCGACGGCTGCTGCCGAGTAGGGGGAGGTGGGGGCGTGGCGCACCTTGGTTAAGCCCCTGCTGCCATGGCCCCCGAACCTGCCAACCCGGCTGTTGATTTTGCTATTGGGGAAACCTCGCTGGATTCTGTTGTACGTTCCTCTGAGGCCTTGGTGGCGGAGGTCGGCGCTCAGGCTGCCAAATCCATCTCCCTCCTTCCTCCATGGGTCTCTTCAACACCTCTGCGTAGGTCCCCTTGTCTTCCCCCTTCTTCCAGATATCTCCCGCGAAACTGATTTGCACCGGAGGCTTGTGGATTCGATCAGATCGATGAACTAGGAAGCAATCGGCCACCGTGAAATCCTTCCGCTCAACCAACTCTCGCCTCACCCAGAACAATCAGGCGGATTTGGTGGTGGCGGCGTTGGATTGAACATAGTTGCCCGAAGAACTCAATGACAACTTCGTCCTCACCAATCCCGCAAACCCCAGAAGGAATCCCAGCATCAGCGGACGAGCTTGCCCTTCTGTGTCTCTGGCTGGTGGGGGACGCGTACCCAGGCCCTTCTGATGGGTGGACCCTCTCTCACGATGGGGTAGCGTGGACAGCCAGGTTGGGTGCGGCCATGGGGGTGGGTCAACCTCGTGGTCCTGTCACGACGTGGGAGACAACGAGGAAGAGGCCATCCTGCTGAAGGTGTTCAGGTAAGGAAAACTATCAAGTTGTCTGGACTGATCAACAATCAAGAAATACTCATTCTTATTGACTCTGGAAGCTCTTGCACCTTCATCAGAGAAGACAGTAGCCAATCTCAAGTGCCTAGTTACCCCTGCTACAACGGTGCCAATGGACAGAAAATCACAAGTGACAAGCAGGTCACTGATTTCACTTGGTGGACGCAAGGTTACACATTTAGTCACACTGATTGAGGGTTAATCCAGCTGATCATTCCTTAAACTTGCTTCAATCCGGAACTGTTCCAGGCCTTTGGGGTCCTTAGTCACACTGCTAGGGTTTTAAACATTCCTTGCTATGATTTGGTGTTAGGCATGGATTGGCTCGAGCAATACAGCCCAATGTGGATTCACTGGAAAAGGAAGCTACTGCGCTTTACACATGCCAGTAAACGCATTGCACTTAAGGGTAGTAAGGACTCCCTATCTCACTGCCCCAAAATCAAGCTGTGGAAACTGAAAGGTCTGATGCGTAAGGGAGGTGTGGCTCAGATGATCCACCTTTGTCTAGTTCTTCCTGAGCAACAGTAGGACTCTATCCCACATGCAGAGCAACAACTTATTGACAGCAAGGCAGCTTTGTTCAAGGAACCAGATTCACTACCTCCAGCAAGGGAGTTTGATCATCAGATTCCACTGATTCCAGGTGTTAAACCTGTTAACATCAAGCCCTATCGATATTCTCTCACACAGAAGGAGGAGATTGAAAGACAGATCAAAGAGATGTTGGCTAGTGGCATTATTAGACCAAGTCAGAGCCCTTTGCATCCCAAGTGATTCTTGTCAAGAAGAAGGACGGGGCCTGGCGCTTCTGTGTGGACTACAAACAACTCAACAACCACACGGTGAAGAACAAGTACCCGCTTCCCATTGTGGATGAGCTTCTGGACGAACTCCATGGAGCAGCCTGGTTCACTAAGTTGGATATGAGGTCGGGCTACCATCAAATTCCACTCAAATTGGAAGATGAGCATAAAACAGCCTTTAAAACACATCATGGTCATTGGGAATTCAGGGTCATGCCCTTTGGCCTCACCAACGCTCCAGCAACCTTCCAGGCGTTAATGAATAGAATCTTCCAACCCCTGCTCAGACAATGTGTTTTAGTCTTTGTGGATGACATTTTAATCTACAGCAAGACCTTGGACAGTCATCTGGAACATCTCCAACAGGTCTTCACAATCCTGGAACACCACAAGCTATATTTGAAGAAATCTAAGTGCTCTTTTGCTCAACAGTCCTTAGAATACTTGGGACATATCATTAGTGGCAAGGGTGTGTCTACTGACCCCCACCAAGACTCAAGCCATTGTAAATTGGCTAACACCTAAAGATGCTAAGGAACTGAGAAGCTTTCTGGGATTATCTGGGTACTACAGAAAGTTCATCAGGAACTATGGTGCTATCAGCAGGCCACTGACTGACCTACTCAAGAAGCACACCATTTTTCACTGGAACTCTGACCTTCAACTCAGTTTTGATACACTCAAGCAAGCATTGGCCTCGGCCCCGGTTTTGGCTCTGCCTGATTTCTCAAAAGGTTTCACTATTGAAACAGATGCATCTTCTACTGGCATTGGTGCTGTTCTATCACAAGGAAATCATCCTATTGCATATATCAGCAAAGCTCTCGGACCTAAAGCCCAGGTAATGTCCACGTACGAGAAGGAATGCATGCCTGTCATTCTAGCTGTCACCAAATGGAAATCTTACTTGAAGCACATGGAATTCACCATATTAACTGATCATCATAATCTCATTCACCTGGGAGATCAAAAGTTGACGGAAGGCATGCCACAAAAGGCTTTTGTCAAGCTGTTGGGACTGCAGTACAAAATCTCATACAAGAAAGGCTTAGAGAACAAGGCTGCTGATGCCCTGTCCAGACAGCCTGACCAACAGCAACTTGTGGCTGTATCAACTAGCACACCGAGATGGCTAGAAATCATCATAGAGGGGTATCAGCAGGATGCTTCGACCAAAGAATTACTGACTGAATTGGCAGTCACAGGGTCCAATGAGAAAGGGTTCTCCTTAGTGGATGGAATTATAAAATATAAAGGAAGGATTTGGCTGGGACAACACAAAGAAGCTCATAAGGCTGTTCTATTGGCCCTACACTCCAGTGGCGTCGGTGGACACAGTGGCATCACTGCCACCTACCAGAAGGTCGAATCTCTATTTGCTTGGCCACACATGAAGCAGGATGTTCAGGAGCACATAGCAAAGTGTGAGGTATGTGCTCAAGCCAAATCTGAACATTGTCGGCTGCCTGGTCTTTTACAGCCTCTTCCTGTACCACCTAGGCACCTACTGCTTGGCACACCATAAGCTTAGATTTCATAGAAGGCTTGCCCAAATCTAAATCCAATGATACTATTTTGGTAGTCATTGATAAACTCACCAAATATGCCCACTTCATATGCCTATCCCATCCATACACCGCTTCCACTGTTGCTCAAGCTTTTCTCAATCACATATACAAACTTCATGGCATGCCCTCTGTGATCATATCTGATAGAGATAGAATTTTTACTAGTGCATTTTGGCAAGAGCTTTTCAAGCTAACTGAAACAACTCTCAACATGAGTTCTTCCTACCACCCTCAAACCGACGGGCAAACCGAGCGCCTAAATCAATGTCTAGAAACTTATTTGCGGTGCATGGTACATTCCTGTCCAAGTAAGTGGGCTCAATGGATTTCATTGGCCGAGTTTTGGTATAATTCAACCTTTCATTCTGCCCATGGGTTATCTCCCTTCCATAGTTCCAAGCTCTGTATGGTCATAAGCCCCGCCATTTTGGTATCACAATGGATGATGCTTGTTCTGTCACTGACCAGAATCAATGGTTAGAGGAGCGTCAGTCTGTCTTGCAGCATATTCAGCAGAACCTGTCGCGGGCACAACACCGTATGAAGATGCAGGCTAATAAAAACAGAGTGGAGAGATCTTTTGAAGTGGGTGACTGGGTATATGTCAAGCTGCAGCCTCACATTCAACAATCCGTGCAACGTTGAGCAAATCATAAGCTCAGCTATAAATATTTTGGCCCTTACTTGGTGCTTCAAAGGGTTGGGCAAGTAGCGTACAAGATACAGTTACCACCAACCAGTCAGATACATCCAGTCATTCATGTGTCTCAACTAAAGAAGGTGTTACCCCCTCAGGCCACTCTGTCTAATGATTCTGAACTGGCTCTACTGACCACTTTTCAGTCTATCTGCTGATCAGGTACTGGAGCGCCGTCTGAAGCTTGTGGGACATCATGTGGTACCAATGGAGCTCGTGCAACGTCAGTCATGTCCGGCTCATTGGGCAAGCTGGGAACCATCGCCTCCGCCAGCTCGTGCCAAGAAGGTGTCGAAGACTGCTGCATCGCGAGGACGCGCTGTTGCTTAAGGAGGGGGAGTGTCACAGCCTCTAGTAGTATTCTTAAGTAGGCTTTGAGTAATGTCTCGGCAAGTGTTGCCGCTGGGAGCGTCTGGGCCAAGCCCATGTACCGTGCACTATAGATACTCGCTGTGTGGGGGGTTGGGAGGACAGCGAACAATTACGAAATCCTTGAACCTATCTCCTCTTTCTCCTGTGCTCTGCTGCTCGAGGCGGCACCGCCGTTCTCTCCGCCGCGCGTGCTCGCCGGCAGCCACTCCTCTCGGCCGAGATCGCGACAGATCATCCCGGACAGGGCAGTCTACCTCATCTGCTGAGGAAGCAACGACATCGTCCAGAACTTCACCTTTTTGCTGATGGCATAACCGTAACCGAGCCCAACTACGCTGAATTCATGACCCATAGGGCTTCCACAATTATCCAGGTACGTACGTACGTGCCTTTATATATTGATGATTGATGAGTTAGCACACACTGACATGATCTGCCAGATGTCTTTAATTTATATTAGTGACAGCAGTGTGTTTGATTAATTAGATATGTGTGTTTCCTTGTACGTACATACATGATACATGAACGCATCAGGCGCTGATTGGCCTCGGCGCGAGGCAGATCGCCGTGGCCGGGACGCCGCCGACAGGGTGCGTTCCGGCACAGCGGATGGCCGCCGGAGGAGTGGGGCGGGCAGTGTGCCACGGACCGCAACCAGCTGGCGCTGCTCTACAACCGGAAGCTTGGCACAGGTGATGGCCCAGCTCGCCGGCAGCTTCCGCGGCGTCAACCTCGTCTACATCGACCTCTACGCCAATACGCCATCCTCGCCGACATCGTACAGAGCTTCCAAGCTCTCGGTAAATAGCTAGGTTACACGGCACCCTTAGCTAGCACTACTAGAAACAATATATATAATTGATGGATCTCATTATATTCTCAGGACGACTAATGTGTTGATTTCATTAATTCGTTGCATGGCCGGACGCGTGTATAAGGGTTCAAGAACAGCAGAGACGTGTGCTGCGGCTTCTTCGGGCTCGAGTCCGGCGTGCTGTGCAACTTGGCGAGCCGAGTGTGCCCGGACCCGGCGCACTACATCTTCTGGGACGCCTACCACACCCTTCCGAGAGAGGGCTTACAAGATCATGATGGACGAACTCGTCGCCCGATACATCAGATTCCTTCGCTAGCAAGAACAACAGCCTTTTTCTACTCCCTTCGTCCCATTAAAAATGTCATTTTTAACTTTTACACTTGTTTGACCGTTCAACTTATTCAAATTTTTTATACAAATAATAAAATAAATAAATTATTATTAAAGTATATCTAATGATAAAATAAATCTTAACAAAATAAATAATATTTATAAAAGAAATTAAATAAAACGAACGGTCAAATAAGAAATCTAAAAGTCAAAAACGATATTTTCAATGGGCCGGAGGGAGTACTTCACTAGCCTGCTAATTAATTTATAATTTCATATTTTTTGTCGGTCAGTGTCAAGGCC